TATGTTAAGACCAGCTTGGGCTATATGCCAGTAACGGATTACATTACATAGAAATAAATGTAGCGAAACTATAAGGGCTGGGGATACAACTCGGTAATAGAGGACATGCCTGGCACGCATAAGGCAATAGGTTCAATCCTCAGCACCCTAAAAACACAGACACACACACACACACAAAACAAAGATACTGATAAAAGAAATTGAAGAACACACAAGTATATGAAAAGATGTCCACTTTATTCATAGAGTAGAATATATAGTTTAATGTCCACACCACTCAAAACAATCAAAAAATACAATGCAATCCCTATCAAAACACTAAAGCTATTCTTCAACAGATAGAAGCAACACTCATACCTGTATAACAACAAAAGAACCCAAAGCCAAAGCAATAGTGAACAAAACAAAGCCAGAGGCTTTACATTATCAGATTTCAGAACATAGTATAAAGGTATAGTAATCAAAATAGCATGGTACTGGCACAGACAGGAAAAACAAAACAAAACAAAACAAAACAAAAAACAGAATAAAGAGCCCAGAAACAAATCCACATATTTACAGCTGACTCAGTTTCAACAAATATGCTTTAAAAACACAATGGAGAAAGGGTAGTCGTCAATAAATGATGCTATGCACATTGGATATCCACTTGCAGAAGAATGTTAACTCTCACCATAACAAAACAACATAATCCCTGAGTTGTTGGTCAGAGGTATCCCAGAGACTATTGCCACTGCTTTTGCCTGCCCACCAGAACTTGATGGTAAGACTCTATCACTGAAGATATCACATATTTTGGTCACAGGACATGGAGAAATCAGTTGGTACTCACCAAGGAGATTCCTCCCTGCCAGCTGACTTTCATAGTACAGGGAGGAGGTGCTATGCAGGCTGCTAGGGGTGGGGGATGTCATCAACAGTCTTACCTGCTATAAACTCTGTGAACTGCAATAATGACTGGCATGGAAAGACATGACCATGGGTGCAACAGTATGATGAGTGTGAATTTAGAGGGCAGTTTGGGCCAGGGAGGAGCGAGTGAAACAAGTATCTGGACAAGAGAGGTCTGCTGCAATCATGAACGCACAACAGCTGTTGGTACCAAAACACAATCAAGTCAGTCAGCATTCTAGCTCAGACAGGGAGAGGCTTGTGAGCCCCTACCCTAACTGAGGAACTCCAGGCAATTAATGGCTTCTGGAGGAGGGAGAGTCAGTTTTCTTTAAGAGTGTGACTCCTGGTAGGCGGACCATCTTCCAGTGGTTCCCCAAACCAGTAAATATAAGATTAGCATTGACTGGACTCCATAGGTTATTGAAAAATAAATAAATAGGCTGGGCATGGTGGCACACACCTTTAACCCCCTCTTTTACTAAGTATGAAAACATACGAGAAAAAGGTTTTGCACAGCTGAAAATGGAAAACATTTTTAGAAAAGAAATAAAAATGTTTAAATTTTAGCAAAAGCCACTCATAAAAATGAACAAACCAGTCATGAACATGGAGAAAATATTACTTAGATACATATATACAAATATATGTACATGCATACATATCCAAAACAGGACTTGTAGCAAAAGTATCAGTCTTTTATAGCACAGTAACAAAAAAGAAATGCCAAGGGCAGATCAACAGCTTGCTTGTATTACTAACGCTCAAAGAAAAGCAATTAAACCACAGAGAAACACACATCTGCCTACAGGGGAAAAGGCCCAGTGACTCTAAGTGATGGCAGGGGAGGCGACCAACTAGAGGTTTCCTATATCTTGCATAAAATGTAAAATTATATTGCCATTGGTCAAATGACTCATTCTTCTACATCTAGCCATTTACTCAAGAGCAGTGAAATAACAAGTGCACACAACAACTACACGTGAATGTTCACAGTAGCTTTCTTCACAACAGCCAAACACTGGACACACTTGGTCCAAAGCAGGTGAATGGATAAGGAAACTGTGATCTGTTCACACAATGCACTAGTACACAGGAATAAAGAATGAATTGCTAGCCGGGCGTGGTGGCGCACGCCTTTAATCCCAGCACTCGGGAGGCAGAGGCAGGTGGATCTCTGTGAGTTCAAGGCCAGCCTGGTCTACACAGTGAGTTCCAGGCCAGCTGGGGCTACAAGGAGACCGTGTCTCAAAAAGACAAAAAAAAAAGAATGGATTG